GCTATTGCCAGACTATAAGAAACATATGAGGACTGTGTTAGTTATGTCTGCAAGATTTGATTTATCTATAAACATATTTCAATGAAAACCTAAAAGCATAATATAATCTAACTGATTTTCATTTTAGGCCTGCATTGTTATTTTTTAATAAATTCCTAATTTTTTGACCCTTTTAGACTTTTCCCATGTAACTAAATAAGGTCAATTCAGCAATACAGAGAAGATTCTGAAGCTAGTGATTTGCTCTTATTAACATTGATTAGTTGCTGAGCTATAAATGGTAATGTTTATTCTTAGTGTAACTAGATTTCATTGCTTTCTTTTATACTTCGTTTGCCATTATTGTCATAAAATTGGAATATATATGTTTCTCCTTCAAAACATTATTGGTAATAATAATTTACCATAATTTTCCCCTTCCACTCTCCCAAGGGTATATTACTAAGTTACAAGATTATAAAAGCATTTCCTGTTTTTAGTGTAAATTTTAGATAATTCGTTAGTAAATGTGGATTAAAGTTCGCCTATAAAAAAAAATACATCTGGCCCTCCCTGGTGGCACAACGTGTTAGGATGCAGCACTGCAAGCTACCCGCAGCCACTTCACTGTAAGTTCGATCCCCAGCCCCAGAGGTGACCCACGTGGCATAGCAGACCTCTCCTGACCCGCCACTGCTCCCCACAGCAGTGTACTTTATTGATCTACCTGTTCTGCTCCCCACTCTGTCTCTGGTGAATCCTCTCACCACCCCTGCACTTCTGGCCTATACCCCAGTTCTGTCTGCCTAAATAAATAAATAAATCTTTTTTAAAACTGCAAAAAAACATTAAAGTCAGCTTTGAAATGTGAAAAATGAGTAGTATTAACATTATCAAACATTTAAAAGCCAGTTTGTAAAGATTAATGGAAAAGAATAAGAAGTATTAAAAATATCCCCCAAATACATATGAGAACTTAGTATACAGTAAATTCAATGTGTCTAATTAGAAACAGAAAGTACACAATAAATGATATTGAGATGTTGCTTTAGAGTTGGTGAAAACAAACCAAAAAGGGTGTATCAAAGTCACAGCACCACAAACAAAAATGGGAAACAGAAAGGAAAATCTAGGCCTCTAATAATTCTTTCAGAAAAAAATGCCAGGTACACTTAAGTTTTTGACTCAAGAAACAAAATTTTAATACTAATTGCTATTAATATAGATTGGGAGAAGATCTTTCCCAAACTTTGCACAATACTCAGATGTCTTAATAAATAATAAACTAGCAACTGCAGCAAAGGTTAATATCCTGCTGCTGTAAGCAGAGGGCTCTTACATACCAATAAAAATGGAATAATCCTCTAGTAGAATTTGTGTCTAGCAAATAAACAAATAGTTCTAAACAATAGCCAATATTATTTATATAAAGATGTTAAATTTCATTCATAATTTTTAAAAAATGTAAACTGCCATTCACTGAACATTGGCATCTATTAAAATACAAAGTATGTGTACTTTGGCTGAATATTTTCCCCTCAGGAATTTATTCTACTCACATACTTGCCCATAAAAATAAGTAGTACAATGATATTTTTTGCAGTATTGTTTGTAAGAGTAAAAAATCTGGAAAGTACTTTAATTGTGCAATAGTAGGTAAATAAATTATGGTTAATCTGTTCAATAAGATGGATTCTTTATAACATAATACAACTAAGAGTGATAAATACTATGTTGATGAGTGTCAAAAAGCAGTCACAGTTTTTCAAAATGTAAATAAGGATTGGGTAGCAATCTAAGTTCTAGGAAAATAATGGAAGTTTCATGAGATTTAGTTATTGCTCGATCTCATCCAACATTGAAAATATCCTGAATCTAAAAAATTAGAATGTGACAGACACATTGGTTGCTTACCCAATAGCCATTGGTCCTTTTGCATGTTACTCAAACCATGATTTTGTTTACTGACAAATTATACAGCCTTCGAAGATGAACATGATTAGTCCAAATCAGTCATTGTTGTCCTTCAGCAAATAATTTCACTTTCCCAACTCCCATGTGATTCAGTTCTTGCCAATACAATGTAAGGTAAGTCTCCTAGAGGATATTTGGGAAAAATAACCTCTCCAAGTAAATAGTAGATGCTGAAAGGTTCTGCTTTGGATGCTCTGTGGAAAGATGTGGTACTCTGGCAGCGATAACTTTAAAAAATGAGAGGAAGGCTAAGTAAACTGTAGGGATATTAATCTAGACAAAGACTTCTGGTTGAACTGCTTGAAACAATACTAGAACTGTCAACTTGCAAAATTTTGGTATGTGAACTAATTATAATTAGTCCACTGTTAGTCAAGTATTCTGTTACTTGAAGCTGAGAATATTCTACCAGAGAATTTGCAGTTATTTTTATTAAATATTTTATTTCTGTAATAGTTCTGAAAATTATTTTCCTGTCTTAACTAATAATGAATATGTGCATTGGATCATGAAGGAAAATAGACCTAGGAGTATTTGATTAATTAATACAATAATGTACCTTCCTCAGAAATTGAACTAGCTTAAAATATTTGTTATCTTTTACCTCACTATAGAATTTCTGTATGTTACAAATTCTGGTAGTTTATTTACCCTTTTTGTTTATTAGGTAAGCCAGAGAAAGAGAAAAGAAAAAAATGTGATATGTTAACAGATAAAATATTTTATCTCCCCTTTAGCTGTTCTAGTACAAGTTTTAAAAATGCTGAAGGAAAAAAGAGGAGCGCCTAAAGAATTATCATTATAATTTCCTGGAAAAACTGTAAAAATAGTAATTTGCCAGTGGTGTTTGTTGTATAACCCTTATTCTTTATTTTCTCATGTGTCCTTTCAAACTTGGTTAACATATGATCTTGTTTACTGATCTGTTTGATCAATTTTTCTTTGAGTCTGTTTATGAAGAAACTCTAAAAACATATTTGTAAGTTGGTTATTTAAATAAGAATATTATAACGCTTTTAAATACTGTTTAAAAAAAAGTCAAGAAAATTAACCACTGCTTCCACAAACCTACTGAATTTTAGTATTATAAAGACTAAAGATTTATCAGTGTGAAATCATTTAAGATGTGAAGTGAATATGAACCCCATGGTTAAATATCTTCATTTGGCTTCAGTTTTTCATTTTTTGCTTTGAAGAGCAATGTCTTCATTTAGGCACTTAGCTTATTAATTGGCCATGCTTTAGTATGAGTTACTTTGTGCTAGAGTTAGGATGCTAACTCTAGCACAAAATCAATGTAGAGCACAAATGGTGAAAGGAAAAAAGATAACTTGGACTTATTCAAAATGAGAAACCTTAGTGCTTCAAAAAATACCATCAAGAAAGTGTAAAGACAGCCCACATAATGGAAGAAAATTTTTATAGATCGTATATCTGATAAGTGACTTCTATTCAGAAGTGTATAAAGAACCTTCACAATCCAACCTAATTAAAAAATGGGCAAAGGTAAATTTAGCTAGACATTTTTCTAAAGAAGATATAAAAATGACCAATAGGCACATGAGAAGGTATTCAACATTATTAATCATTAGGTAAATGTCATTCAAAACTAGAATAAGATCATACCCACTGATATGACTATAATCATAATGACAGATGATAGCAAGTACAAAAAAGATGTGAAGAAATGGGAGCCTTAAGTTGTTGATGAATATATCAAATGATACAGCTACCCTTATAAGTGAAAGAAGATGGGAAATTACTGCTAATGATTATAGGGGTTCTTTTTGGAGTAGTGAAAATGACCTAAAGTATTTGATTGTGGTTATAATTTTATGGTGAAAAGAACTATAGAATTTAAATTTAAGTTGTATGTGAATTATATCTTAGCAAAATTATTTAAAAAGCCAGTAAGAGATTTGAATGTAGTACTGGGTGGCAAGTCAACATTATGCAGAATAAAAAGCATATTATTCAATATCAGTGATCAAAGAAATGGGAAACATGTAAAGAAATATTATATGCTTTATAATAATTGTTTTATACTACCTTGTAATACAGGTTTCATTAACATGGTAGTCTTACCTTACTGAGTTGTAAACCTATTGCTTCTGTTTTTAGAAGCAAATCTTGTCATTTTTCTATTTTGCTGCTAACTTGATTCTAGGCAAAATGTGAGGAAGCATTTAAAAGTTTTACATGCTGTGATAAGCCAGATACCTCACTAAATATTAAATAAATAAAATTTGGTCTTAAATTCTTCCACCTACTTACAAACCTCTTCTAGCCCAGATTCCAGTAATTTCTTCTTTTTGGTAACCCTACCATTTTTTAGAATTCAAAATTTCTTTTCCTATCTGCTGGTTTCCATTCCACTCCAACCTTTCCATTCGCTCAATGTGTCCTTATCTAGGTGTTTTAAGGTAAGTGGTTCATTGCATTAGTTTATACAGTTATACAGCTCTGATATTTGCATTTCAAAAGATTGTAGAATAAGGGTTAGCAAACTTTCTATGAAGAATTTTCAGTTTTATATGCCATGTGTTAGTTATTTGGAACTATTCAGTCTCAGACAACATGCAAGTGAATGGCTGAGTTCTAATTTTACCTTGGACAGATTAGATTTAGCCAGTGTTTTCCTCACAAACAAACTTACTGAATAGAAATGTAAAAAGACACCTTCATTTAAGGTAAATGGGGAAAAATACAGCTTATTTGATTCTGCTGAAATATGTAAAGATACGTGAAGGTGAACAATATCTCCTTTCAGAATATCTACTAATTACCTTCTAATTCTTCTAATATTTTATTTAAGTCTAATTCTTTTTTGAACATGATAACTGTCTATATATAAAAGAAAGGTAGTGCTAGAGTAATGACATGGTTTGACATCCATAAGAACTATAGTAATGTTTCAACTAGTATTTCCAACTAGAAATTTCCATTAACCATGTTAGTACTTTACAAAAGTAGGGGATATTGCAAAATTACCATTTGCTTTTAGCTAATATGAATATCGTTACCTTATTTTCTCCTTTGATTTTTAGTTCCAATGACAGGATTCACACAGAGAGCAACCATTGATCCAGAACTGAATGAAATACATGTTTTATCCGGACTCAGCAAAGACAAGGAAAAGAGGGAAGAGAATGTTAGAAATTCATTCTGGATTTATGATATTGTGAGGAATAGTTGGTAAGGAGCTGTTGTTTGTCCTGCAGTTGCATTGTAACATTTATTTGATATTGTTGGTTTATTCAAAAGAAGAAAAAAATGGAAGATTTATTAGTTATTTGTGATATTATACAGAAAAAGAAGTCAGTGTCAGTGCTTGTGTGTATAGTGGTATTCAGTGAGTGGGTTCTATGTATGAATTGTTCAATTAATAGCTGCTTCCTGGACTGGGAGTCAAAAGAATTGTTTTAGTGTAAATTTTGGTAACTTGTGTACTTGAGAATTCTTTAGGTCTTAGTTTTAAGACTAGGGGAAAGGAGGTGTTATTATTTAGCATTTTAAAATCAGAAGCTCTTTGTCATAGAGCTTCTCACAGGATAGGTGCTGCCCACTTTGCACTTTGCTTTGGAAAATACTGACCTAAGGGGATGCATTTCCAGGATGACTATCTGTAAGTGAGTATCTTATTAGAACAGTGGGACTTCAGAGAAATTCCTTCTCTAATCGAAGGCAGTGCTCAGCAATAGGGAATTTGTTTTCTAAATGGAACCTTTATTTATTATTTATTTATAGTAAAAATGAAAAAAAGCTTATTTTTGTTTTTTAATGTAGAATAGATAGAAGGGATGACTATCTTTCATGTCTCTTTGGTTGAGCCTACACACACACACACACACACACACATATTTAGGTTGCGTTTCAAACACAAGCAAACTTCTTGTAGATGGTTCTTAAGTGAGGTTTTTGATAGACATTAAAAGAAGCTTCTCCAAACTCAGTTCCTACAAATTAGATTATTTTGTGTGATGAGTGACCAAAACTATAAGATTTGATGTGAATAATTTATCATTTTTGTTTATAATTGGGCATGTAATTCATTTATTTACTATAGTTGTATGGCTATTTTGTGTGCTCCTAATTTTTCTAGGGTAGAATGTCTTAAAGGCAATGTCTTGTAGGTCTTGCGTCTATAAGAATGATCAAGCTACAAAGGATAATCCGAGTAGAAGTCTCCAGGAAGAAGAGCCATGTCCCAGATTTGCCCATCAGCTTGTATATGATGAGTTACACAAGGTATCTTAATACACTGACCAGTTAATTTTTCATGACTTAACTATGTGAAAGAATCCTCAAATATGTTTCTAATTTTTTTAATGAATTTTAATAAAAAATAAAATACATAACAGACATTCGATAGGATCTGTAACCGACATTCTCCCTAAAATTTCTTAAGAAAGTAAACACTTTGCACTCTCTAATTCCTGGCACTTGTGCTCTGGTCAGTGGCTGCTGTTTAGCTACATAGATCAGAAACATAGCATGGCCTGATGTTTCTACAATGAACATCCAAATAAAGTGGTTTTCAGCACTTGGGTCCCTTGTCCCCATGATATGAAAGGTAAATAAAACCCCGAGATTTTAGATCTTTTCATAGTGTAAGGAATGTTTTTATCTTTTTTTCTTATCTGTAAGTAATATATCTTTTCCATTAGCCCTATGAAAACACTCTGAAGTGTCGGTGCCATTATGTGTTCAGAGTGGCTTTATTTTGCAGTCAGTATCTTTTCTGTTTAGGCCATAGACGATTATTTAAATTCTATGAATTTGAGACCGTTTGATAAAAGATACCATGAGAAGGGAAAAAAGGCCTTTCTCTTAGAGTCTCTCAAGTTAAAAGGGAAATGAATTTCCATCTGTGGGATAGATGGGTATACCACCATTGAATATAAATGTTTTAAAAATTTAATGCTGTAATACAAAATATCATTAGAACTGTAGTTAATATAATAGTGAAATAATTATTGCCTTCCTTTTACATTTCCTTTTTGGTATTAACTAGATAATGGAGCAATATTTTAAAGCTATTTCACAATTTATATGTACCGTGTAAATAAATTATATTTGACATTCACGCTAAAGCAAAATTAAGATATTAAATTTTTAAATTTCTAGTTACTGTTGACCTGCAGTGACTTAACAAACGTGTTAGAATTTTTTGAAATTCATTTGTTATTGTGATCATCTTGATAATCCCTAGTATTCATTGCCTTAGGAAAACTTTATTTCTTGGATTAACTCCTGTCGTTGATCTTGTTTCACATTTCCTGTTGTCAGTGTAATTGAATAAGTACAACTCACTTTATTTTATTTTTTTTTAAGATTTATTTTATTTATTTATGCATACAAGAACTGGGGTGCAGGCCAGATTTTCAGGGGTGGGAGGGTAAGAGGATTCACCAGAGACAGAGTGGTGAGCAGAACAGGAAAATCTAAAGAAATATACTGCTGAGGAGAGCAGTGGGAAGATGGGAGATATTGGCTGTGCCATGTGGGTCACCTTCCTGTTTTGGGATTGAACTCATGCTGCAGTGGCTGCAGATTGCTTCATAGTGCTGAGACTTAACTCTTTGCACCATCATGGAGGCCCCATTACAACTCATATGGAACTAGCCACAGTACTTCTAAGTAATATGTAAACTTAAGAAAAATAACAAGAAAGTATTGTTAGAAAAATAAAATGCCTTTATGCTTTTATATAAGTAAAGCTGAGGAAGTTAATCTTTTACCTACTACTACCAAAATAAAGAAATTTTACTATGACTTACGTAGTTTCTTGAGTATGCATGCATTTATAAAATTCTGATGTGTTTTGTTTATTATAGGTTCATTATTTATTTGGTGGGAATCCAGGAAAATCTTGCTCTCCAAAGATGAGATTAGATGATTTCTGGTCACTGAAGTTGTGTAGACCTTCAAAAGATTACTTACTGAGGCACTGCAAATACCTCATAAGGAAACACAGGTATATAAACAATTCACTGAAAACTTTTATTTAACATTATCAACTGTTGTAGCATTACCTAAACTTTGGAGGTGTGACTTTGTCTTTGGAAATTAGTAATGTGACAGTATAAGTACTATGAAGATTGTGGCTTTTGTGAATATCCTATTATTTTCCTTAGTTTTGCTTTTCCTCTTTCAAAGAAGATGCAAAAGGTAGCTAGATATTAATGCTAAAAAATTTCTAAATATAGAACAAGGAAATTTTGCACCTGTTAAAAATAATGGAAAAAATTCTATTAATATGATGAACTTACCTTGATGTTATTCAAGAAAGCTACTACAAATTACATCAGTTGTGGATTACTGATACGTGCCCGACCTTTTGATAATTATTTTATAGTGAACATGATGATACAATTGACTAAGCAATAGCTTTATAATTTGATGTTTTAGAGTATATCTTCAAATATGGTCACAGTTTTGTATCATTGCCCTTTTTCATTTAATTGCAAAATCATTTAGTTTTTTCCACACATATCTTTTAGGTTATGTGTGCTTTTTAGCCTTAGCAGATAATAAGCTACTCAAAATGTAGAAAAGTGTTACATGTCATTTTGCTTGTAATAGTGTTGGTGTCAGTAGTTTAGCCATTAATGGTAATAGCTACTGTTACTGTTTGCATCTGTGTGTAAAATACTGCATGTTATACTTAAAATGAGTCAGTGGAGCAGGCACTGATTTTATTACTACTTTATTAAAGAAGAAACATAGATTTTTTTTTAAAGATTTATTTATTTGTGCATACAGAACTGGGGTACAGGCCAGAGGTGCAGGGACAGTGAGAGGATTCACAGGAGACAGAGTGGGAAGCAGAACAGGCAGATCAATGAAGTACACTGCTGAAGGGAGCAGTGGGAGAGTCAGGAGAGGTCTGCCGTGCCATGTGGATCACCTCCTGGGTGGGGATCGAACTCATGCTGAAGTGGCTTTAACTTCTAGTGCTGTACTTCAACCCACTGCGCCACCAGGGAGGACCCAAGACATAGATATTTTAAGATGAGTTATATAACACATCAGAAATCACTCAACAATAAGTGACAGAGCTAGGTTTTGAGCCCAAGTATTCTAATTGCAGAGTTCACCACATTCATAAGAGCACACATACATAGATATGTGTGTGTGTGTATATATGTGTGTGTGTGAGTGTGTGTGTGTGTATGTGTATACACAAGCGTACATACCTGTGTGTTGGTATATTCATCATATATTTGTGTATTTTTCTAGACTAAAAATCTGTAGATTTGTGTACCTTTATCTTATGTTCACATATTGTTCCTCCCTGCTTTAACAAACTTGTTACTTCTATTAGACCTAACTGAATAATTGGTGTGTTTGTTATGGAATCTAGAAGAGAAAGAATTAGAATCTTTCATTGGCTTATTTGCTATCATAAATAATACTGTAATTATGTTCTATATATCTAATCCTATTAATCCTGCTTGAGAGATTTATAGCAGAAGAGTGGAGAGATGTTGGGCATTATCTAAGGTCTATCACCATTTGAAGGAAGGCAGAAAAAGAGATACTCCATAAAAAGAGATGGAGAAAATCAGATTCTGGATAACCTTTAAAGTTTGCAGGAATAGAATTTCTGGATGGATTTGATAAGGGAAATTGCTATAGTGCAGGCAGAATAAGAATAGATAGAAATTTATTTCTGTGAATTACATAGAACTTAAAAATAGCCACTTAAATTTAAAGTTCATAGAGTCCTACTCTTATATAGAAACTTACTCTGTATTCTTGATGTGACATGTATTTTTATTGTTCTTGTGAAAAAGCTATGTATTATACTTAATTTAAAAAAAAAAAATGGGCCCTCCCTGGTGGTGCAGCGGGTTAAAGCACAGCACTAAGAAGCTAAAGCCACTTCAGCATGAATTCGATCCCCTCCCCAGAGCTGACCACATGGAGTGGCAGACCTCTCCTGACCCGCCCACTGCTCCCTTCAGCAGTGTACTTCATTGGTCTGCCTGCTCTGCTCCCCACTCTGTCTCTGGCGAATCCTTTCAGCACCCCCTTTACCTCTGGCCCCAGTTCTGTATGCATAAATAAATAACTCTTTTAAAATATAAAAATAGAAAATAAAAAAGACAGATTTGGAAAGAGAGAAGTATATTATACTAAGAAAGTATTCCCTTGTTATTAATAGTGTTGTGTGATATAATAAATAAAATATTACTGTTATGTTTCCTTATATATCTCTAACAACAGGAAATCATTGAATACCATTATGAAAAGCTCTTTATTCTTCCTTTTCTAAATGAAATTAAATGTCTTCTTTCTGTAGAATATGTTGTAAAGTGTACCTACTTATTCACATTATTGTATTGAGGTAAATAAAGTAGGTTTACATTGTTGTATATGCTTTGGGCTTGTAACTGTAAACCTCTACAAATGTATACTTTCATACCATGCCCACCACTAGTGCCCCAGCGGTGCTCCATCATGTTCCATTGGTTCCTTTCCTGCCCCCATTCATCACCCTGCCGCTGTAGTTGCCTCAGCTTTGTAGTCAAGTGTTAAAAAGAGTTTATTATTGGTTGGTTTTTGATGCATCCTTTGTTATATTTCTCTGTATTCCATATATAAGTAATACCATCCAGTATTCTTATTTAAGATATAAATAGTCTCAAACAGATTTTTTTTTTTAAGAGTACTTATTGTTTCCTTTTCAGATTTGACTGGAGTAGACTTAATTCTATTTCTACCACTTACAGGTCTCAGCTGAATTTATTCTATGGGCCTCATTTTCTTTTTTTATCTATTTTTTTATGATAATAAAATTCAGTAGAGTTGGAAGGATAAATTAAGTGATATATGTAAAATACTTGAACAGTGTTTAGTATATAACAAATGCTTGATAAGTTGTTGCTGCAGTTGTTTTTGTTGTTACTCATAGTGTCATTAAAAATAATCAGTGTTACTGATTGAAAAAGATACCTGCACCCCCATGTTTATTGCTGCTTTATTTACAATTGGAAAAACATGGAAGCAGCCCAAATGCCCAAAAGTAGATGACTGGATGAAAAAGATGTGGTACATATATACAATGGAATATTACTCAGCAACCAAAAAAGAGAAACACATGTCTTTTGCAGCAACTTGGATGGAGCTGGAAAAGATCATGCTTAGTGAGATAAGCCAGAAAGAGAAAGAAAAATACCGGATGGTTTCACTCATAGCAGGAGTATAATGGACCAGGCGAGAAAATCAAGAATAATGAACAACCATATATCAGAGACATTTTGTGGGGGTGGAGTGGGGAATGGGATCAAAAACGGGGGGGGGGTGAGGAGGGAAGTGCATGGGATTATGGTGATGGCACATGGGTGACTTGGTGATAGGAAACCCGAGGGAATTGCAATTGAGATGGGCAAAAAAAATGTACAAAATGATGTAAAGATAAGCTGTTATAAAATTAAAAAAAAAATAATCAGTGTTAATGATACCCATTAAAGGGAGCTGTACTCACTTCTGTTTCTAAAATGTCTCAGCTACCTCTGTTGTAAAGAATGTTACACAGATCTAACAAAGTTATTTAATTTCATCTCTACTTCTTAGGAAATGTTTGACTCTTGCAGTTCTGTTACAAAATACTTGGCATGTTCACTCTGTTCTGTAGTTGATTTAATCTTGGCTTGTTGTTTTAGAAGGAGGGTAGTAAGTGTCTCTTATTCAGAGTCTAGCACTAGGTACCTGTAACTACCTAGCATTAGTGTTACATGTGCAGGGACTTCATACCTATATTACCTTCTTGACAGTATATTTAATTTTGATTTCCATACAAAGCTTTTTTAGATATCTGTGAAGAACTTAAGACACAGTATTCTATGCCAGGCCTGAAAGATTTCCTGTGTTTTATAATAACTCTGGACAATAATTATTCTTGTTCACATTTTCTAGGTTTGAAGAAAAGGCCCAAATGGATCCCCTTAGTGCTCTGAAATACTTACAAAATGATCTTTATATAACTGTGGATCATTCAGACCCAGAAGAGACAAAAGAGGTAAATGTGGTAATAAATGTCAGAAGTGAAAAAAAAAAAGCATTAAGAAAAACTGTCTTAGTTGTATTTGCTGATTTTTCTCTTGATGTTTAAAGGAAAATAAGGAAATTTGATGACTCTAATAATCTTTAAGATGGCAAATAGCAGAAGAAATAAAAATTGAATATGCATGTTTTCATGTGATAAGATTCAAACTGTACACAGACTCCTTGATCCATTTCAGAAAAGGGTATCCAGGCATTATAAAGCTTTGAGCTTTAGTTTTGTGTGTTGAGAAGGAAATTAAAAATTCTTTCAAAGTTTCATACTTTTACTTAAGGAATCCGCAGTGGTTCAGTGTTAGCTTTTCTGAGAACAGCCCAAAGTCTCTTAGAGAGGAAAGAAAATGTCCCTTTTTGTATTGAGAAAGTAAAAAGAGGTTGGTGTGAATTGAATTCTTGCTGCTTTGAGTGGTGTAGCAGTTTATTGTAACTATAGGCCACTAGCTTCATTCATCAGTAGTCCCTAAGCTTGAGAATTAGTGGTAGATCATGATTGATTGATTGATTGATTGGTTTAACTAATTTTGTTATATAACATGGCATAAAAGAAACTGTTTTTGAAAGACAGTATTCTGAAGATTTATCCACAATTTGTAGATTTACCTGCAACAAGTTTCATGGTCTTACAGCTTCTTCCCCTACTAATTTCTGAGACTCCTTTTGGTACTTTTTCCACTTTTTATTCATAGTTCATTTAGTAACATCTGAAATACAATCCATTTTACCTTCCACTCATAGAATTGGTGCTGATCATACATAATTCTGTTCTTTATGTCTGTTTGTTAGCTTTTGCTTGGTTTTGAGTTTGTAATAGAGTATCAAGCAGTACTTTTCTCTGTTGAATATTGACACATGTGTTGAAGTTAATGTTGAATCACTATCAGGCAGCAGGTTCATTGTACTTTCAAGCAATAAAGCTTGCATGTCCTTGGCATCAAAGTAGATACTCTTTGCCTAATGTGAAAATAAGTCCTATTTCTTTTTTTTTTTTTAAGATTTATTTATTTGTGCATACATACCTGGGGTACAGGCCAGAGATGATGGGGCAGTGAAAGGGTTCACCTGAGACAGAGTGGGGAGAACAGGCAGATCATTCAAGTACACTGCTGAGGGGAGCATTGGGCGGGTCAGGAGAACTCTGCCACACCACCTCCTGGGCGGCTGGGATGGAACTCATGCGGAAGTGGCTTTAGCTTCTTAGTCTGTGCTTTAACCCGCTGCGCCACCAAGTCCTATTTCTTTTACTCAGTATTGGTAACAACCTTTTACTGGGTTGAGAATGAGCAGAACACACTTTGGAGAACCCCTGAATGAAGATAGTAGTCTTTCAAAATTAATTCATGAGACTTTAAAATAGGGAAAATTATAGTTTTTGCTAAGTAGCAGAATATGTTTGTTTTAATATGTTGTGGCTTATAACTGAATATAGTTGTGAAGGGTCTGTTAATATTCATTTTGATAAACCATGCAATAGATTTCCTTGTGTTTTCCCACAGTCTTATCTAAAATGTCTGTAACCGGGAACATTCATTTTTCTCTTTTCTTTTTAAAAACAAAACAAAATATTGCAAAGTAAATAATTTCAGCTGTGTGAACTACAAGTAGGCCAAAGAAAACAGACAGTTTGTCCTTAAAGCTAAACTAATAGGAAAATCCAGGACAGGGAGGTATCTCAAGTATAAACAGAGCCTTTTAAGAAAAATTTAGTAGCAGGTTTCTATTTCTCCTTTCCTAAATAGGATCATATAATGATTTAGTATGTCATAGGCATCCATTCCATTTCTTAAAAGCTTTATCAAGAGCTGTTTAACCCTAATAAAAGTAAGAAAACAAATTTTCAACCAATATTGCACATTTTGTACTAATTATACTTCTGCTGAGCTTTCAGAGTACTGGTGTCGTTCAAATAACAGATGTGCATTGAGTCCCTCCAATTTGCCAGGCATTTTTCTAGACACAGGAGATGTGTTAGTGAATCAAGTAATATCCCCTAGCAGGAAATGCATGTTAACTAGTAGGGGAGATAATAAATAACACATTAACAAGGAAATTATCTAGTATATTAAAATTTGATAGGTATTATTACAAAATTAAAAAAGGATAAATGGGTATATAGATACGAAGTATAAGAAGTGAGAACTGGGCAATTTCCACATTAATTAGGATCATAATAATAGACCTCATTTAGAAATGAGATTTCCACAAAGATTAGGGATGTGAGGGAGTGAGCTAAGCTTGTAATTCAAGGAAGTTAATTCAAGCAAAGGGTGGGCTAGAACAAAGACCCTAGGGTGGGAACATTCTGACATTCAGGAAAACATCAAGGAGGCCATTGTGGCTGGAGTAGAGGTGAGGAGTGTGAGCATAGTGAGAGATGTGATTAGAGAGGTAAGACAAAGATGAGAAAACAGATTATAAAAGATGTCATAAGTCAGTGTTAGGAATTTGGCTTTCACTCTGAGGAAAGAGCCAGTTCAGAGTATTGTGCATACCCAGGAATGACATGATCTACTTTATTTTTTAATTAAATTACTCTTTTATGTTGAGAATAGATTAAAGGGGAGTATTGATGGAGGCAGAGAGACCGGTAAAGGAGATTGTAGAAATCTAAATAAGAGTTTATGGTAGCTCAGAATTAGATATTCATTATATTTTAAACAACACCAACAGAATTTTATGGTGGATTGCATGTAGGGTTTGGAAAAAGTGACTCAAAAACTGTTGGCCTGAAAAACTGTAAGGATGGAGTTTCTGTCAACTGATATGGAAAGGTTCTGGCTAGGACTGACCCCCGGCTGCAAATTCTACCCACCATTTAAGAAGAAATTTAAGAACATCACTGAGATAACAATAGAATAGGTCCTTGCTTCACTCCCGAGTTGAGCAGAGAGTCCCTTTACTGGGGATGAGACTGAAGAATCACTTGTACCTCAGAGATCAGCACAGACTACTTACGAGGGGACATTGAGGAGGTTCACACATTGAACAGGAGGAGGTAGGTGGAGGCTGAGGTCTGCGGTTGGGAACATAGGTGCTTAGCTGGGGACCCTGGGGAGCCAAAATGGTGTGTAGGCACAAACCCTTAGACCAGGTAAAATCCATAGAGGAGCTTGAGTCACCTTCCCAGATTACATGCCTAGTAAGGAAAACAACAGAGAAGGCACTCTAGACTGCATGCTTCTCTAAACTCTAAAGCCCCTCAAGACTGATACTGACTTCATGAAGTACACTTACATTGGACTGTAGTGTCTCACATCTTGGAACCCAGAGAAGAGGCATATATCAATGATGTCAAAAACATGAGCCAGCTCATCCCATGATACTTTGAACAGCAACTGTGCCCCTTCAGCACCCTCACCCACCCTGCTGACTGAACAACTGCTAAAGCAGGTTTTAGAAACTATTGAAGCTGGCAAAGGCCAGTGAAACCACAGTGCCACCTGCAGGTAACATAAAAGTAGTACAATGGCTGCTTTTTTTTTTTTTTTTTAAAGATTTATTTATTTGTGCATACAGAACTGGGGTACAGGCCAGAGGCTCAGGGGCGGCGACAGGCTTCACCAGAGACAGAGTGGGGAGCAGAACAGGCAGATCGACGAAGTACACTGCTGAGGGGAGCAGCGGGCGGGTCAGGAGAGGTCTGCCACGCCATGTGGTCACCTCCGGGGCAGGCGGGAATCGAACTCATGCGGAAGCGGCTTTAGCTTCTCAGTGCTGGGCTTTAACCCGCTGCGCCACCAGGGAGGGCCAATGGCTGCTTTTTTTAATGGGGAAATTTAAAATAGCAAAATAGGCAGGCAAAAAAATGTAACACGTGGCAACTTGAGACCTCAAGAAGAGAACATCTGTAGGATCTAAACGCAAAGACATGGAAGATTATATATCCCTATCAAATACAGTACAGGATTCAGTAATAAAGAGATAGATAAGTTATGTGCTACAAGTGAACTCAGAAAAGCTAGTTAAAGAGATACAGAGAAACTAATGATTCAGAATCAGAATTTACAAGCAAAAAAATAGAAATTGAAGCTTTAAATAAGAAAACAACAGATTCAAGATGTAAAGAACTCAATGATTGACATAAAGAGCTCTAGCAAAACTTATGGAAATACACCAAATGGAGGGTTGAATCAGTGACCTCAAACAGCAATGCACAGAGAACTCAGGTGAAAAAAGAGAAAGAAATAAGATATTTAAAAAAAAGAAGACACAAGAACTACCGAACTCCATGAGGAAAGGCAACATAAGGATGTAAGAATAATGCGTAATCTAGAAGGGGAAGAGAGACAGAAGGGAACAGAGAATGCATTCAAACAAATAATAGCAGAAAACTTCTAAAGCTTAGGAAAGAAACGGAATATGTTGTGTATATGTTATGAAATATGAATATTATGAACTGAATAAGTTCATGAAGTTAATAGAGTGCCTGGTTATATAAAGCTAACAAGAGCTACAGAAAGGCACATTATAGTAAGACTATCATGAGTTCAAGACAAAGGAAGAAAATTGAAGGCAGCTGGGGAAGAAAAGCACAACTTATTATTCCCATCAGGCTCTCATCAAACTTCTCAACAGAAACTCTACAGAACAGGTGAGAATGGCATATTGAAAATACTGAAAAGATGAAAACTGCCAGCCAAGAGTACTATAGCTTGCAAGATTCTCAGATATGAGGGAGAAATAAAAACTTTGCAGTACAAACAAAAGCTGCAGAAGTTTGCCAACATTTGACCTTCCATACAAAAGATGTTGAAAGGAACATGCCTACATAAAGAGAAGAAAGTACCCCCCCCAAAATTGAACAAGCAAATAAATAGAACCAGAAAACTAAATACAATATCTGTAACAAGTTCTCATATATCAATAACCAGCCTTAATGTAAGTGGACTGAACATGACCATCAAAAGACAAGAGTGGCTTGATGGATTAAAAAATGCAAAAATCAAGCTATATGTTGCTGCTTACTGGAAATTCAAGTTATAAAAACAAATATAGAGTTAATGTTAATGATAGAAACTAATATTTCAAGTTAATTAAAAGTTTTAAGGCCCTCCCTGTTGGCGCAGCAGGTTAAAGCACAACACTAAGAAGCTTAAGCCACTTCCACATGAGTTCAATCCCCGCCTGCCCTGGAGAAAATCCACATGGCGCAGCAGACCTCTCCTGACCCACCCACTGCCCCTCAGCAGTGTGCTTCTTCGATCTGCCTGTTCTGCTCCCCGCTCTATCTCTGGTGAATCCTCTCACCCACCACATCTCTGGCCTGTACCCCAGTTCTCTTAAAAAAAAGTTTTAAGACAGGGACTACTATATTTTTATTAGATAAAATGGACTTCCAGACAAAAAAGATAACAAGATAGACAAATAATGATAAAGAAATCATCACAATAGGAAGACATAATAATTGTCAACATATATACACCCAGTATGCAGCACTAAACAAATACTAGCAGATCTAAAGGCAAACATTGATAGCAACACAGTTTTAGGGGACATTAGCATTCCATTTAGAGCAGTGATCTATCATCCAGACAGAAAATCATGGAGGATACAATGACCTTCAATAGTAAATTAGTGAGAACACCTAGAATTACATAATATTATAATGCAATATTACCTTTGCTTTTTTAAAAAAGGGTGGACCTAAGAAATCTAAGAAAAAAATGCTTTTTTTAAACTAGAAAATCAAAGACAGATTTTCTAAACCTTTCTATGAGGCAGTTTAATGCTGATATAAAAATCTGATAAAAGCATTTCAGGCAAAGAAAATTACATACCTATATCCTTTATGAATGTAGATGCAAAATTGTTAAAAGTTTTAGCTGATTGAATCCAGCAATATATAAAAGTTACTGCACCATAACCAAGTGGAGGCTTATCCTAGGAATTCAGGTTGGTTTAACATTTGAAAATAAGTCTATTTATAATTCACCACTTGACAGAATGGAGAAAAACATAAATCATCTCTATAAGTACAGAAATAGCATTTGGCAAAATTTTAAAACCATTCATGCAAAAAAAAATATTAGTAAGTCAGGAATAAACAGAAACTTCCTAAATCACTTAAAAGGCATCTGTGAAAAATGACTAGTAGTATATTTAATTGTGAAAATGTAATCACTTTCCCCAAAAATTATGACAAGGAATATTTGCTATCAACATATCTATTCAGCATTGTGATAGTGTCCTAGCTGGTACAATAAGGTAAGAAAAGAAGTAAACAGAGAAACTCATGCTTTTTGCAGAAACATGGATGGAACTGGAAGGGATCATGCTTAGTGAAATAAGCCAGAAAGAAAAAGAAAAATACCAGATGGTTTCACTCATAGCAAGAATGTAAAAGATCAGGAGGGAAGGAGGAAAAAATGTATGTGTGTGTATGTGTGTATATAGTAATAATAAAGTAAAAGAGAACATAAACTGACAACTATAAACCAGAGACATTCTGTGAGGGAGGAGAGGGGAACAAGATCAAAAGCGGGGGAGGGAAGAGCACATGGGACTGTGGTGATGGCACATGGGTGAAGTGGTGGTAGGAAGTCCACAGAGAATACAACTGTGATGAAAAATATGTACAAAATAAAGAGTAATGTTTAAAAATTATATAAAATAAAAAAGAAGTGAATAGCATATAGATTGGAAAGGAGAAAGTGAAATTTTTGCATTTGTTGCTGACATTGTTGGCTACTTAGAAAACCCTGTGCACTTTACAAAGCAGTGTACTATGATAACTGGTCTTAACATTATAGATTATAGAATAAAAGGTCAGTAGGGGAAAATGCAAATTTTTATACGAGCAGTGAATAATTAGACAATGAAATTTTAAAACGTGTTTATATTTACATAAAAACAATACTATAAGAAATTCAAGAAATCTAAGTAAATGGAAAGCCAATTAAACTGAAAGCCAATTCTGTCCAAATTGGCTTTCAGTTTAATACAGTTCTTGTCAATATTCTCTCAAGTTTGGCATTCTTTGTTGTTTAATTAATAAACAAACTGATTCTAAAATTTTTATGGAAATGTGAAGACTCAACTAGCCATAAAGAGAAAAGATTGGAGGGCTCACATTCCCTGATTTCAGCACTCTGTATAAGGCTACAGTAATTAAAGTAGTGTGGCCCTGGCTTAAGGACAGACACAGAGGTCAATGGAACAGAATAGTGTTGAGAAATAGACCCTCATTTGTGCAATCCATTGATTTTTTTTTTTTTTGAACCAGGTTGCCAGTTCAATGTGGATAAAAAGTTTTTTTAAACAAATGATACTGAATAACTAGATATTTCAACCCTTATCTCACTCTTTAAACAAAAGTTAATATAAGATGGGTTGTAGATCTAAGTATAAAACCCAAAATAATAAGGCTTCAAAAAGAAAATAATTATCTTCACAATCTTAGGGTAGGCAAAGACTTCTTGGACATGACACAAAAGACGTAATCATACAAACCTTGATAAATTGGACTTAAACTAAGTTAAAATTTCTACTCATTAAAATACGTCATTTTTATGTGGTACATCTACACAATGGAATATTACTCAGCAATCAAAAAAGAAACATATCTTTTGCACCAACATGGATGGAGCTGGAAAAGATCATGCTTAGTGAGATAAAGCAGAAACAAAAAGAAAAATACCGGATAATTTTGCTCATAGCAGGAGTATAATGGACCAGGAGAGAAAATAATAATAATGAACAGCTATATACCAGAGACATTTTATGGGGGTGGAGTGGGGAATGGGATCGAAAACGGTGGGAGGAGGGAAGTGCACTGGACTATGGTGATGGCACATGGGTAACTTGGTGATAGGAAACCCACAAGGATTATAATTGAGATGGGGAAAAAAATGTACAAAATGATGTAAAAATAAACTGTTAAAGAAAAAAAAAACATCATTTTTAAAAACAGGCAAGCACAGGCTAAATAATATGTGCAGTAGAGATATCTGGCAAAATGATACCAGAATTTGTTTCTTTTTAACACTTACCCTATTTTTTCTTGTTGATTAGGTAGTTCTATAATAGTTGTTCAACTTCTGACTTTGAACAGAAGGCCCTATTGGGCTCTCCCCTAGTGGTGCAGTAGGTTAAAGCACAGCACTGCTAAGATAGCCACAGCCACTTCAGCACGAGTTCAATCCCTGGCCAGGGAGTCATCCACATGGGCACAGCAGACCTCTCCTGTGTTGCCTGCTGCTCCCCTCAGCAGTGTACTTCGTAGATCTGCCTACTCTGCTCCCCACTCTGTCTCTGGTGAATCCTCTCCCTGCCCCTGCACCTCTGGCCTGTACCCCAGTTCTCAATGTGTAAGTAAATAAATCTTTTTTTAAAATAATAAAGTAAAATAATTACAGGGCTTGGGCCAATATTTTGCATCCAGCATAATCTTCAGTCTAATTGTGTTATTTTTCATACCACTGTTTGGTGAATCAACTTAAATAGCACAAGTACAGAGAAACATAAAGTGAATAATAAATCATAAAAGTTATGGAAGTTATTTTTTCTCCAATGTGCTTAGCCAGCTAATTTGCTTCTCTTTTTCTATTACAGTTTCAGCTCCTAGCTTCAGCTCTATTCAAATCTGGTTCAGATTTTACAGCTTTAGGTAAGTATTGCAGTATAGTTTATTCATCCAGATGTCCTGACATTTGAGAGATTGGATTTTGGTTTATTTTCAGTGAAATAGCATATGAGATATTCCTCCAGACAAATGGAATAAATTTTAAAATATCTTGCAAAGTTTCTAATCGCCTGCTACCAGGTGATTTTCCAAGATCAGTCACCACTTCGTGAATTAGTTTGTAGTTTCTGTTTTACCAGTTGCTTTTGCTATGCAGAGTCAATAGAAGCATGATGAAAATAATCTATATTTTGTTTTAGAATGCAGTTTGTTTTACAGATATGCTTACTGTCAGATAACACTTGTAAATTGAATGGATTTTTTTCTCTCAGTTTATTCTTTATGGGATTGTATGGTGTTTATTGGAATGATGTTGTAGGCAATGAAATCTGTTTGGAAGCAGAGAATATGAAGCAGAGAACTTTCCAAAAAGTGGTAATTTTTGTATGTTGCTATCTTAATGGTTCAGAGTTCTTCTTGAAACGCAGGCATTTCTCAGACATCCCAGATACAGGCACCAGTCTTCATTTAGCATAGTGCTTTCCCTTAGTATTGATGGATTGTTAAAATAGCTAACGATATAGTGGGGAGTCAGGAGAAGTGATTTTTCAAGGATCTTTTTGTTAGGATAAATTATTATAGCTTCAGTTTTTCAATACAATGGCTGCATTAAATGTGGGGATTTCCAGCTTTCCTCTTGTCATAAAAGGTAGTCACATGGTGAATACATACTGATGCTAGTGCTGTTGCTATATATCTTAAAAGTGAGCAGTAATTTTGAAATTTTTCAGTATTTATAATAAAAATATTTTTATTTTTTGAATGAAATAACACTTTGGGATATCAGTTTAATTCTTTTCATGGTAATTTTGTCTCTTGAAAATGAACAATGCCTCAAAGAAAAAAGCAGAGCATGTATAATTCTAGTGTTCTTTCACAGCGATAGTGAAAAATAACAGTGTTCCTTGGGATCTTCCTCACCCTTTTTACATAGCAAGTATTTGAGGCTTTTGTTTAATGACTGCAACTCTAGTCCAGTGTTTTAATTCCAGAATATGTAGGATTCTACAAGGCAGGACTTGAGTGCAGTGTTATTAAAATGACTCCAGTAGGTTCTCTTAAAATAAGGTTCCCATATCCTTAAGGACTTTAAAAAATACTTTTCAACTTTTTAGAAATCTCCACCCTATTATGGAGAATCTAAGTAGAAGGCATTATTTTATTAAAATCATACCCGTTTGAATTGTACCATTAGATACAGAGATTTAGTAATACATGAATTGGCAGCCTGGCTCCTGGAAGTTGAGTTTGAGTGAATCTGTATGTGGTTATGTATGGTTACCACAGCTCAGAGCCAGGTTTCTGTTTTATTGGTGGGTGATACTAACATGTCTCTGGCTGACTTATATTTAGGCTTTAGAACAAGATTTCTTGGCAGTCATTTAAATGTGTTAAACTATTGTCAGCAAGTATTTTTACCTTTAGCTTAACTTCTTTCTACTGTCCCTGCTGCAGTCACTGCCAACAAATATATTTTGTCAGGAACAGTTTGTTTGACTTGGATTCTAAACAAACTTCAGATACATTGAGAACAATATAAATACAACAGAAAAAAGTACAAAAATGGAAATTTCCTGTGGGGTTTTGTTTGCTGCCTATCTGAAGGGAGGCAGTATTGTTCAGTAGGTAAGAGGTATAGTATAATATAGTGATTAAATGTAGTCATAATTCATTGCTGCTTGCTAATTTTAAAGATTTATTCAGTGCTTTAACCAGCTGCGCCACCAGGGAGGGCCGCTGCTTGCTAATTTTAAAAGTAACCTGCTTCATTGTTTGTTGTCACAATGAAATAGCATCCTACAGTCTGTGCCTAGTAAATAGGAGGACCTCAGTGTTCCCTCATAAATCATACAACTTTCATGAAAATAGTATTACTTCATAAGAGTATTGTCAGAAAATCAATATCTTCTCTTAAAAATATAATGGATGGCCCTCCCTGGGGGCGCAGTGGGTTAAAGCACAGCACAAAGAAGCTTAAGCCACTTGCGCATGAGTTCGATCCCCGCCTGCCCCGGAGGAGACCACATGGCATGGCAGACCTCTCCTGATCTGTCTGCTGCTCCCCTCAGTGTTCTTTGTCGATCTGCCTGTTCTGCTCCCCAATCTGTTTCTGGTGAAGTCTCTCGCCACCCCTGAACCTCTGGCCTGTACCCCAGTTCTATATGCACAAATAAATCTTTAAAAAAATATATATATATATATATATATATATGTATGTATAATGGATAATGACATTTTTACCAATTAGGAAAATAAAACACAGTGAAAACCCTAAAATTGAATATAATTAGAAATAAATAAGCCTGTTTATCAAATTGCTGACACTGCCACAGTGTTAAAAAAGAGTTAAACCAGTTTTTCAGTGCAGTATTTAAACTATCTGCCCCAATAAAAGATATTCTAAGGACAATAAAAGCAAATCTTGAGTATAGTAATTCTGGAACATGTTTTGTATTTTAGTTTGAATAAGTGAATAGATATATGATGTTACTGGAACTTGTTCTCCTGTGAGAGAAAAATATTTAAGTAATATTTAAGTAAGGAAACTACGTGGGGATAAAAATGAGGTTCTTAAAATTTGGAATTTGCAATAAAAGCACGAACTCATGATTCTGAGTTAGAAAAAAGCTGTGTTTATGTGTGTGTGTGTTATGTATATATGCCTACAAACTCCACCACCCTAGATAATTTGCACAACTGTTATTTTTCTAAATATCATTCACTATTAAAAGGAAGTAGGGCTCCTTGGGGAAAATGACTGACTACACAAGTATGTAAAGATGAACTTAGGTATCTTGCTGTGCCAAAAGGTAAGAAAGTACCCAAAAATTACTAGGGACATTTCAAAAAAGACACAGAAACCTGCTCAAAAGAGCTCTCACTGCTCAAATCTGAGATAATATAAATATTGATATGGTTAATGACAGTAATGCATATAGCATTGAACAAGGAAAGGAGCCATTATCACATAGTAATACAAGTAAATGAAATGGAGAGGGAATGGAAACACCTTTCTTTACAGTTAATGTTAACTAGTAAGTGCAGAAAGAATTTGTAGAATTAGAAAGTTATCTAAATAACAGTAATTGTTTTAGCAAGAATCACCAGTAAAATGCCACAAACACACATCTGTTGGGGAACAGGATAATTTATAGTTTCAAACTGTCTTCTTGTTAATATCTTCTTAGTTGCAAAGTCAGAAAAAGAGTGCTTTCAAATTGGTAAAATCTGCCCTACACCAAATTAGCAATATCATCAGTTCAGTGTTAACGTTGACAGCATTGGCACATCGTGGTACCAAGTGCTGCCAAGGCAGTGTACTGAGGAGGACACTACACTTTATATAGCGTGATTAAGTGAATGAGCTTGTTCTTAGATGAAATGACCCGAAGTGTCAATATTTAGGAATGAAGATGTCTAAAACCTCCAAATAGTTCAGTGAAGAAAGCATGAGTGGGGTACCTACAACACAGACAGAAAGCATGAGAATGTATGTAGCAAAATGGGTGACAGTTACTTAATGTAATGAAAGGATATGAGTGTTCATGGTACTATTCTTGAAGCTTCTCTGTTAGAATTTTTTTTTAATAAGTTGAAAATAAAACAATTTAGAAAATCAGAAAATAGAAAAAAAGAACATAGCCTCATTATTTAGAGATAACATGTCAACATTTTGGAGTATTTCCCTTTGTTCATTTCTGTGAAATGATAGTGGCTTTATTAAATAATTCTGCTCTGCTCAAAGGAATAAATGTTTACCCTCGAACTTAAAATAATAATAATAATAATATATATATTTTAATGAAAGGGGATATACTTTTCTTGAGGCATTGTTTGTTTTCCTCCAGGAAACTGGTATCCTTGGCAGTGGTATATTCTATTCATTTTCTTTACAAGATTAAAAAAGATTGCTCTTAAAACTGTATTCTAAAATGAATGAAAGTTGGACACATTTTAAATAGTCTTCTGACTGTCATGACATGTATGACTCTTTCTTGCTCTGTTACTCTTTCTGATGACACTAGGGTTCTCATTTAGCCACTTGAGGAATGGGAAAAATCAGAAGGCTAGTTTTTCTTTTTCATACCTCATATGTGCATAAGAAATTTGAAGCAACTGGGGACAGTATCTCAGCTGACTAAGGGAAAGAGGGCATTCCAATGAATATTCCTTTGGCTATAGTGAATGTGGAAATAAGTGTTTCCTAGAATAAAAGGGAAAAAAAGTCCTTCAGTGCAGAATTCCCTTTTACAAATGCCATCCACTCTCTTAATACTTATCTGGGTTAAAGTAGTTCATTGCTCTATTTTTCACATAAGGTGTTCCTAGCGTGAGCTTCTAGAACACATACCACAGTGTGGCAGAGTGTCACGAACACGCGGCATTTACTTTGTGCCAGACACCCTTCTATGTGCGTACTTACATTTCTTTCTTTCACCATCTATGTTTTCACTCAGTTCCCTGGAACAGCTTCCAGTTGTCAGGACCTTTGTGATTTTAGGCCTCTTTAAAGACTGCTTTCATTTTATTTTAATATACATACAAATTTTAATCAAAAATGTTTTTGTGCAGAAGCATTAAAAGGTCAGGAGAAAGTAGTGAATTTTTTTCAGTGCACTCTGTAGTGCACAGAAAGAAATCAGTATTAGTTATCAAAGTGCCAGCAATTCACTAGTTGCTTTCTACATAATTACATTTAATCTGCACAATAAACCTATGAAATAAACAAGATGATCACAAATCTACAGCTGAGGAAACAGTAGCAGAAAGGCTGATAAGCGGACATAAAATCTCACCACTGCCATGTGGTAGAACTTGGATCAGCACCCATATCTATTTGGTTTTAAAGCTTGATATTGTTTTGAATTTTCCAGTCCACATTGCTGCTTTTCACAAAACTACATTGCTAGCTCTCCTGTTACATGTTGACTTTTAAATCAGTGGATGAGTGTCTTTGTATCTCTCCTTCAGGCTTTTCGGATGTGGATCACACCTATGCCCAAAGAACTCAGCTCTTTGACACCTTAGTAAATTTCTTTCCTGACAGCATGACTCCTCCTAAAGGCAACTTGGTAGACCTCATCACACTGTGACTGAAGACACACTGGACAGACAGGAGATCGGGCTTGTGCGCTCAGTATTTTGGATTTCAAGTCTGTTGACCGACAATTAGGCTGCAGTGATTGAGGACTGCACCAGAGTTTTGAAGGGATCTTTACTGTCACAACTTATAACCCTCTTCCTTCACACCTGACCTCAACCCCTTTTTCCTCATCCCATTCCATAAATTAGGCTAATAAAATGAAATTGATATACTTTCCATTTAAATACAAATATTTTTTTTACTTTAACTTTTAAGAATTAATGAGTGTAAAAGAAAAATAATCAGGCAGTTTACCCTTTTCTGATTTTTATTTCATTTTTTAAAAATTGAGGCAAGGAAACGCTATTAACAGACTCGATGCTACAGGCATTGAGAGTTTGTTGTTAGGTTGTTTGGCTTGCTTTCTCTTCCCTACCCATTTCTCTTTACCTCGCGTCACACAACTGCGTGTAAGTGGTGTCAGTTGTTTACCTCTTTACTTCATTCTTAATGATATATAGTTCTGTACAACTGTTGATATATGTTAAGGTGATGTATATGTGTTGACTACAGTCTTGTATTACATTAAACAATAGGAGGAACAGAGGGCTTAAATTTATGTTCCTTGTCATAAAATTAAAAAATGAAACCCAGGATTGATTGAGGCACTTATCTGAGATTGGTGTATAGTATTTCTACAATGATATATTTTATAGTGGATATTACAATAGCTTTGAGTCACAAAAACCTTAAGCTGAGGAGAGTAAGTTCAGAACCTCTAAGAGCCATTCTACAATTACCAGCAGAAGAATTCTAGTAGTACTTAATATGGTCATTGGTACCTTTGTAGCAACTTTGGAAGAAAATCATTCATTCTTCTGGTCGGACTGTGCAGAACCAGGGCTTCCATTTCTCTCTTGTGCTGTGTCTTCGTAGCATTTTCGTTTGAGAAGGTGGGTTTACAGAGCTACAGTTTCTTTTCATTTCTGTACACATTGCTCCTTCATCTGCTTCTGTGTACTGATATTTTAAAGAATAATGGTTTATAGTTATGCAGTGGAACACAATGGACAGGCAGTTCAGTAAGCACACAAATGGGCTTTTTCAAATGTAGAAAAAGAAATTGTACAGATTTTTTTTTCATTAAACTAAAGGAGAGGTATGGCAAATGGAATTTTCCACTGTTCATTTGTGTGTGTGTGTGTATCTGAGAGAGAGAGAGGGGGTGGGGGAGAGAGAGAGAGGTAGTGAGAGAGAGAGAGAGGTAGAGAGAGAGAGAGAGAGATAGAAATATGTATCTTCCTATAAGATGCTCTGATAATGGGATATAGGCAGTCCATACCTGCCAGTGCTTACTTACCTTTGCTCAAAGTGTGCTATCTATAACTGATACCCACCATTCTTAAAGTAGACTCAGTATAATAAATGTCCATCAATCCAGAAGTTCTGAAAAGTGAATGACTTAATGGAATTGAATATGTCCCTGAATAGTAAGATTAGGCCTCACCAAAGAGAGGAAAATTGACTGCACTTTCAAAACGCCTCCTGTATAGAAATGAGACTTGAGATCCTTCCACTCTATCTTTATTGCATGATTCCACTTCTCTTGGGAACAGACAGAAATATATTTTACTAGTTCTAGGCTTGATTCTTGGAGTCCTTGGTTTTCCAAGCATCCCAGAGCAATCAGTAGTGATTTACTAAGCAATTAGATCTGTATCTTACCTTGTGCAAGGTATAGTACATAATACAGTACTAAATTTTGTAGCTGCAGAATAACCGATTGACTTTAAAATGAGCAAATAGAATCTACTTACATACTTGTACAGTGTCATAAAGTTATTCCCATGAGTGACAGTCAAGAACAAACTACTAATGTCACTAATATCATAGCTTATTGAATCTTATTTTATAGAGCTACAAATCAGAGAGGTGGTAGGTGCTGTACTCAAAGGAACTCTGATGACAGATTTAAAAGCCCTACTCATGCTTACTATGAGTTCTGGCACTTTAAAAACATTATCCAAATGGAAAGATGCTGCCCTCTACCTCTGGCTTTTACAAAGCTTTCGCAGCTTGTCCACATACTCCATAGTTCCCTTCAAATACATATTGATTGGAGGGACACTTAGTTTCTGGCCTCCTTAGTAATTTTGGTTGTTTATCCCTGACTCTAGTAAGTGTTTTTTTTTTTCTCAAACATATACTTACTTTAATTTCCTCTCTCCTTACTTTATTTAGGCAAAACTTTTCCCTTTTCTTCATTTCTGGATTGTATTTTTCACTAACATGTTTTAATGGAGTTGCTTGAATTAGTATTTCTTAAGTGAGATAGACTCAGAGAGGTCACTGACTTGCTAAGTCACAGATTATATCCTGGAGCTTCAGTGGGGCATTGCTGGTAACAATTGCATGCATAGCATGTAGGGCTTCCTGATATTAATGACCAAGATTGATCATTTCACATCAGAAGCCTGGTTTGAGGCTTGTTTATGTATGTAGAGGGGGGCTACAATATATTATAATTTAAATAATTTTACTTGGCATTTAGATACACTGTTTAGGAAACCAAATATGTATGTTTTGCTGCTTAAGAAATCTTTCAAAAAATAATTAAAAATGAATAAAAATTCCTTCATTCTAGCCTAAGGGTTTCCAGATTGAAACATGGCTGATGCTTTGGATGTACTAGTTAGTGGGGTGCACTTTGCTCACTTTCATGCTTCCTACCTTCATGTTCATTCTTACATTTCTCTTTTCCCAGTGGAATAAATTATTTTCAACCAGAAATAAACTAGGTCTCCAACAGTATTTTCAGTACTGTACTCATAATTGCCTGATTTGCAAAATCCAAATGCATTTGCATTTTATGGAATCAGAGAGACCTCATGTGGCCGACCTGGTTAATTCAAAAACATTACCAGAATTCAGATTTGGATGTCAAACTCTGTAAAAATAGATAGTATTAACCTTTAACAACATTTTTTAAGAACTGGTTTTCATTTACCTGTCTGTGTCTAGTAAGTGAAAACTGAGAAAGCATTAGAAAGTTAATTCACTGGTTTATCATAAAAAGGTTAGTTAGGTTTAGAGCTCAGTGATGTGTTAGATTGTAAAGCTGCATTACTGGGTAAAATATGTATATTGAATATATATATATATATATATATATATATATATATATGTTATATCTTTCCACTGGGTCCCTTTATGCTGCCCTAAAATTGCTATTTGGAGACATATTAACAGAGTTTGATAACAATAAAACAGTCTTAAAACCTAACATCTCAGCAAAAACTAGTTTGAGGCACTTAATCATTTAGTGAGAGATTGAAAATGCTGCTTAATGGATCACAAAGCACTGAGGAAGGATTATGTTCCTAACTTTATTCTCTGATGAAATTACATTATGAAGTTGCCCTATAATTATTGTTTATACCATATGAAGTTTATTGGATAATTGTGGTTTATCTTACTTATCATTGCAAAGCTCAATTGTGGTTTGAACTGATTTATGTGGGAAAGGATCATTACACTGCACTCTAAACAAAGTCATCTAGCTAGAGGGAAACATGACCTACCTAAAACCCTCTTTGTCATAATAAATGTTATGGTTGTCAGTAATCTCAGTTTTAAATTCTTTAATTTGATCTGGTATAAGTAGGCTTCCCCAGAATAAGGTGCTAGATGGTGGAGATCAGAGGAGGTCTGCACATGACTATATTTAAATTTGGGGGCTCTTTCACTGACAGATTTTTGTGTTCCTTACTAGTGAAGTAATAGTTCTTTGTGATTTTTGACTGTGACCTATATTTCCCTGTGATTTGTTTAAACGCCACAATGACTTGGCTATCCAAAACTTCTAACCTAGAGAGGTATTTCACTTTAAGGTGGACATTCCAAGTTTGTTGAAATAATGAATTAGGAGCTGTGAATTACATCAGCTGTGTAATGTCACCGTTTGCTTTGGCAGGAGGATGCATTATTGCAGCTTCACCCAATGCTCTCTTGTTCTTCTCAAAAAGTGCCATCTTGGAGGTTCTGTTTATACATACTTTTTAATCCTTTGTTTCTTCCTACTCACAAAATAAGGTGAATTGTGTTTCCATACTTATTTACCTAATTTAACTTTATTCTTGACTTTTTTTAAGCCTAAAATGCCAAGGTTTTCTGTGACATTACTTACTCACACATACACTGTTTGAAGTAGAGGTCACAGTCATTCTTAGGCAAGCATACTCTTTTATCCTTGTTTATGACAACAGGATAGAGAGATTAAAATTTGTACATTATTGAAGAATTAGTAACAATCAGATATGGCTATCAAAATAATTGTTAATTTATTTTTACTTGGGGGACAACAGTATAGCTGTGGCGACTTTTAATGGATGTTTTTCCCTTGGCATTGGAAAGTATAGTCATGCCACTGTTGGGAAGGCACAGGTTTTATGGCAGAGCTCATGGAATTCACATATCACTAGAATATCTATTTGTATATTGTCTTTTTGTTGTATTTTTAGAATCCCTTCCATCTCCCCACCCCTGCCACCTCCTGATAGCATCAATTTTCTGCTGACACTGGAATTTGTGTCAAGAATTGCCTTTCAATTTCTGATATGGTTGAGTATTAGGAATAACTTTAATTGATATGAATGCTAAGTATTCATCCCTCCCCCCAATAAAACTAAAACAGCACAATAAACATCTCTTCTCCTCTAAAGTATGGATTTAACTCAATTTTCAAATGACTAAATCTTATTCCTAGTCAGAACCATTGTAAAATGCTGTGACAATAGATTTTGTAGTTCTTAATCTAAAGAGTCATGAGAGGTTATACTAAAACAGATTTTCTAGTGGTGCAGAAATATGCCCTAGTGTGCTGCCGTAACGCTCTATGTCTTTTTCTGCTAGGTAGAACTGTCGCCAAACACCACCTAACTTGATGAAAAACAGAATGTCATGTGGATGTTATGAGAGCTGTAGGATCCACAACAAAAACCAAGGGCAGGAGTGGTGTTCAGTAGGGAAGTAAATCTGTTTGAAGATAGCACTGATATTATGACATAACTTATCTTCCTTTTTATTTGATGCACAGACAGTCTCAATAGCTGTAGAATATTAGTGTGCAGTGTCTTCTTTTGCCCTTTTGTTAAGCAGCATATCTTGGTTAGTTATTTTTCTCACCTTCCGAATAACTGTTAAGTGATTTTAAGACCGAAAACCCTGGCTTTAGAGCTTAACCAAGGCAAGCAGT